GAAATAATATACTGAAGTGAGTGTCATGTTTTCATGCGTGTTATTGTGTTATTTGCAATTAAACGAAAATGTATTATAGCTTAAATTTATATTAAAAGGAGTTAGTTGAACTTTAGAGTAATGCTTGACCCACTTAAATAGCACTTACATCTTTATACGTAATTTCATATTTACTTCTATTGTCTTTGAAATATGGTTTAAGTACACTGCTGAATGTATTGACAAGCATTTATGATAAACTAAAATATATGTTACTTCTATTGAAACTAGTATGTCATGTATTTAAATATATTTGAAGAGTTTATTTGCAAAAACAGATATTTATTGTTATGTTATTTTTGTGTTAGTTAGCTGTATTTTTTAGTTATTTTTTAACCTAATCAAAATAACCTAATTGCAGTTTGATTGAGATTAATTGAAATGCACAATGAAAAAAAAAAAAAAATTGAAATCTGTTTTTGCAAATTAACTCTTCATTTGCATTTACACATTTGTAGTGATGAAGTTGCAATTTAGTAGGCCTATATTAACTATATTAACTAATTAATATGAAATAATTAGAATATTTAAAATTACTATGACCATTGCATTGCAACTTTTTTTGGCATTTTTGGTCCTTTACAATCACTATTTGCTTTGCTTTTTACACATAAAAGAGTTCAACAACATAGCTTCATTTATTGCACACTTTTATCATTTTTCAAACAGATCTTCACAGTAACAATGCCTAAGAGAGGAAAAGAAAACTGAAGCTTTTTTTTTTGCTCTGAAAACAGCCTCTTGGATCAACGTATCATATTTACAGATATGTACAGAAAAACTGAGAGTATTGGGAACATTTTTAAGACTGTTTGGCTAATAGAAGCTTTGACCATCTCATAATTACTTACTGCCAACTAAAAAAAAAAACACTCCTTTGAGTCCAGGTCGTGGGTTACTAAAAGGTCAGTTTGTGAATAATCCCAAAACATTCAAGTTTCTTGAGCATTGCACAGGCACTGGGGTTAAACACAAAACACTACATGTGGCCCCTCACTTTACACAGAGCAGTCAGACTATCAAATCATCTTTACAATGTCTGTGAGGAACAGGGACTTCTTTTTAAAGCACACACACACACACAAAATCTCAAATGCAAAATAAGACCTAAAACCCAACACGATTTCCTCACAAATGTACTCTTTCTTAATAAATAGCATTTTGAGCTTTTAAAATACAACACACAAATACTTCCAAAAGGTTCATTTAGAGGCCAACTAAAACTTCTTTAAAATGCGATGGCGTGAATATGAGTGAATGAACGAGAAAGTGGCAATCACCACAAAGATAAAAGGCACTCTTTTGCCTTTTTTGGCCATGGTTTACACAACACAAAATAAGTGAGCGCTGAAAACAGGTTTTATGTAGAGCAATGGAATAATAACACAAAATCTCAAATGCAAAATAAGACCTAAAACCCAACAGGATTTCCTCACAAATGTACTCTTTCTTAATAAATAGCATTTTGAGCTTTTAAAATACAACACACAAATACTTCCAAAAGGTTCATTTAGAGGCCAACTAAAACTTCTTTAAATTGCGATGGCGTGAATATGAGTGAATGAACGAGAAAGTGGCAATCACCACAAAGATAAAAGGCACTCTTTTGCCTTTTTTGGCCATGGTTTACACAACACAAAATAAGTGAGCGCTGAAAACAGGTTTTATGTAGAGCAATGGAATAATAATTTTTGTTGAAAGGTCAGTATATGTGAGTAATGCTGAAAAACAAAACAAAACAGTAGGAATGAAACGATGTCCTATAATAAAACAATCTATCAGCATTATACCATGTCCTATAACCACTTTCCACAGGCAAGTCATTTGCTAATCAGTGCTGGATTCACAAATGATTCTTAAGAGTAGTGTTTTTCTTAACTGTTATTTTCATTCTACTTTATAACCTAAGAAAAAAGTAAGAAAATGTGATATTCCCTCAAAACATTTTTTAAAAGATTTATTTTTGGCATTTCTGCCTTTATTATGATAAGACAGATCAGAGCAGAGCAGAGCACAGCAGAGCAGAGCAGTCCACGTTCCCATATTTCATGATAATAAAACCAGAGAAACAGGGTGTGTAAAACACTGTGATTGATCCTCTCTGTTAATAATCACAGAACAACAAATGCTTGCACTAAATACCATTATGTAACCTCCCCAAACTGATTTCTAGGACACATTTTCATAGACCACGAAACACCGGCAGGAGCATTTGGTTTGCTATGTCATGCTCTGAACACGGAGCAATGAAACGGATGAGAGATCAGATCCCACGTCTCACTGAATGGAACGCAGCATAGTACACACAAATATGTGAAGCAGGATTTCAGACCAGTGAGAAGTTCACCGTTAGCACAACAACAAAAAAATAGACTCAGAAAAGAAATAGAAACCAACCAAAATGTCTTGTCCAGAGGTGTCCAATCCTGCTCCTGGAGGGCCACTGTCCTGCAGAGTTTAGCTCCAACCCTAAATAAACTCACCTGAACCAGCTAATCAAGCTCTTTAGGCCTGCTAGAAACATCCAGGCAGGTGTTTTGTAGTACGTTGAAGGAGCAAGTTTGGACTCCCCTGGTCTCGTTGGCCATTGCTTGTCACCTGGTTAGGACACAAACTTATTTTAACATGAAAGGACTTATCAGTTTGTTGCCTCCTGGTTAGGACTGATTGGTTTGTTTCATTCCCTCGAGCCTGTGCCCTACTCTATAATCAAGCACTGAAATCACTCCACCAGATGAGACTCGAGATACCTGCAGCGTGAAGTATGACTAACATCATTATGAACTTCCGCTAGCATAGCATCAGCCCGTCCTTAAGGTTCTCATTAAGAGAGAGCAGGTGTATTCAGCATGAGGCCTGAGATGGGAAACCCTGACGCACAGGACGCCTGAAGAACCAATCAGCGTGATTCTCTCCTTCACCACTGAATAACCTCAAATGAAGCGCGCACTTCACCTTAAGTGAAATAACAAACGTGCCGAATCTGACACTATGATTGAAGGCTTGATGGCACAATGTGCAATTGAAACGATGGCTTGGTTCAGATGGCAGGAAATTATGTCGAATTGTGAACGCACAGGGAAGGATGCGTTTAAGTGTCCTTGCACAGTAGTACTGCACTGCAGTACAATCATTAAAGCTTGTTTACGTGCCCTTATGTCGAAGACCTACATGAGCACAGTTGTGTTTGAATATATAGATCTGAGTACCAAAATCATCTGTTTCAGCTTTTGGTTCCAACTCGTCTGTACACTCGCCAACTTGAAATATGCAAATATAATTATACCAGCAGACTTGTCAAACAAATCAGGATGCAACAGAAAAGTATGTAGTGCAGCTCAAACACAAAGTTTTAAATGAAAAACACATATTTTGGGAAAAATAAAATGGGTTTCATACTTCAAATGTAATTTTGGTGATACTTTAGTATAGGGACCAATTCTGACTATTAACTAGTTGCTTATTAGCATGTCTATTATTAGCATATTGGCTGTTTATTAGTACTTATAAATCACAAATTCCGCATGACCATATTCATCCCTAATCTTACCCAACACCTAAACTTAACAACTACCTTACTAACTATTAATTTAAGCAGCAAATTAGGAGTTTATTGAGACAAAAATCTGTATAGATAATGGTTTGTTAATAGCGAGAATTGGACCTTAAAGGGATACTCCACCCCAAAATGAAAATTTTGTAATTAATCACTTACTGTCCGATTGACTGCTAAGTAAATTACACTGTCAAGGTCCAGAAAAGTATGAAAGACATCATCAGAGTAGTCCATTTGCCATCAGTGGTTCAACCGTAACGTTATGAAGCGACGAGAAAACTAAAATAACGACTTTATTCAACAATTCGTCTCCTCTGTGTCTCTCCGCATCACCGTAGTGCCATTTTGGAGAATATCCACTGAACGCAAGCAGCGTATGCTCTTCTGTGTCAGCCACGCTGCAGGGATGCGCTGTTTTCGTTCATATCAAAGCGTAAATACACGTAGAAAACGCATCCTTGTGTCGCGGCTGACACAGAATAGTGCACGCTGCTTGTGTTCATACTTTTCTGGACCTTGACAGTGTAATTTACTTGGCAGTCAATCAGACAGTCACAAGCCTCCCGGTTTTCATCCAAAATATCTTAAATTGTGTTCCGAAGACGAACAAAGCTTTTAGGGGTTTGGAACAACATGGTAAGGGATTAATGACAACATTTTCATTTTGGGGTGGAGTATCCCTTTAAAATAAAATGTGACCATACTTTTTTATTAAACTTTTAGTAAGTTATTGTTAAACTATATGAGTTTATGATCATTATATTAATTAGACATTCTTTTTAAATACTTACATTTGTTTTAACCATTAAAAAGGAAACATTTGAAAATTCCGAAAAAATGTGAGAAAAAAAGTAAAACTTCAATTCCAATAGGAACGTTCACACAGAACACATTTTGCATCAAACTACATGAAAGGCGAGCAGTAGAATTAAAAACAAACTCTGGAGATTTATTTTTACTGGATTTATTTTAAACAAGTGCCAAATGAGCATTTTTAGAACAACGTGTTGTGCGTGAAATTCTGCGAAAGACACAAGGCGCGAGTTTAATACACAACTGTCTAGTGAATGTTTGCATAGAAAAATAATGTGAAAGTAGTCAAGTGGAATGCAAAATGTGTTTGTGTGAATGGTCCCTTAGAATAGCAAATATAGCGACAAAGTGGAGTGTACTACGACCAGCTTGCAGAATTATGCAAATTGGGACACAGTCAGTGTTTTTTGCAGCCATTCATATAGATTGTTCTAGCAAGAAAACATCAGCCACAGGAAATAAATGTAAATGTGCAATAAAGGATACAGCTAGAATAACAGTGCACAGCAGACAGCAGGATGCGGTTGTGTCGGTGCTATACTGAATTACTGCACTGCAGTCACTCTCTCAGTTGGGAGGCTATTGCCTCAATTCAAGAGATGTCTGAAAGTAGAGAAAAACAATCGTACCTGCAGCACTGAGTCAAAGGGACCAGGATGGACATTTCATCATGTGAATGCTTTCCAAATCTGTGGGGTTAGAGAGATATTTTTAAATGGTTCTCTGGTGAAAAAGTGTGCTTAATTTGTATACTTGTATTGTACTTCAAATCTTAAAAGCATGTTTAAAAAAAACTGTACTTGTGGATAATATAATATTAATGAAATAAAAGGCCACTTAAGTGCACTTAAAGAGAGACACTTTCATGACGGTTAGTTAATAGTTTATATGTACTAAATTACAAGTCTATTATTACAAATGTGTATACATACAAATACATGTCATACAAGTTTCAATAGAAATTATGTTAGTTCGCCATAAATGTTTGTCAGTGCATTTAGCAGTGCGCTTTTTATTTCAAAGACAATAGAAAAAAATATGAATCTACATATAAAGATGTACTTGAGTCCTACTTGGTGGCTCAAAAAGCACTTTAAAGTTCAGCTAAGTGCATCTATTACACATTTAAAATATAATACATTTTCATTTAATTGCAATTAACATGCAAATAAGTGTCTGACGACTTTACATTCAGTTCACACTTCAGTATATTCTCTTAAAGTATATTACTGCCATACTAAGTAGGCTCTTTAAAAGTATGCTAAAGTGTACTATGTTTTTACTAGGGTAAAGATGCTAAAACGCTCAACAACCATTTCCAACATACTATACTTACACTCTAAAAAATGCTGGGTTGTTTCAACCCAACTTTGGGTCAAATATGGACTAACCCAACTTTTGGGTTAAAAATGTAATTAAAAAATGTAACCCAACAGCTGGGTTAGTCCATCTTTGACCCAAAGTTGGGTTGAAACAACCCAGCATTTTTTAGAGTGTAACTTTTACCAGACATAAAAGTTAGAATATGAAGAGCTCACCAAATTGTACATTTAGGTCTTTATTTAAGAAGAAATAAAACCTAGCTTATATGACGGACATTTAAATCACTTTCTGTCGTTATACATTCATCTTTCACTATTACTTTCATATTGGTAAGTCAAATTGTACAGCACATTACTGGTGTGGTTCAATGGTGCTGAAATGTGTTTTCAGAGGTCATATCTTACATTTTACAGTTATATTCTTATTTATAAGTACAAACCCAATTCCAAAAAAGTTGGGACACTGTACAGATTGTGAGTAAAAAAGGAATGGAATAATTTACAAATCTCATAAACTTATATTTTATTCACAATAGAAAAAAATAACATATCAAATGTTGAAAGTGAGACATTTTGAAATGTCATGCCAAATATTGGCTCATTTTGGATTTCATGAGAGCCAAAAAAGTTGGGACAGGTAGCAATAAGAGGCTAAATGTACATATAAGGAACAGCTGGAGGACCAATTTGCAACTTATTAGGTCAACTGGCAACATGATTGGGTATAAAAAGAGCCTCTCAGAGTGGCAGTGTCTCTCAGAAGTCAAGATGGGCAGAGGATCACCAATTCCCCCAATGCTGCGGCCAAAAATAGTGGAGCAATATCAGAAAAGAGTTTCTCAGAGAAAAATTGCAAAGAGTTTGAAGTTATAATCATCTACAGTGCATAATATCATCCAAAGATTCAGAGAATCTGGAACAATCTCTGTGCGTAAGGGTCAAGGCCGGAAAACCATACTGGATGCCCGTGATCTTCAGGCCCTTAGACGGCACTGCATCACATACAGGAATGCTACTGTAATGGAAATCACAACATGGGCTCAGGAATACTTCCAGAAAACATTGTCGGTGAACACAACCCACCGTGCCATTCGCCGTTGCCGGCTAAAACTCTATAGGTCAAAAAAGAAGCCATATCTAAACATGATCCAGAAGCGCAGGCGTTTTCTCTGGGCCAAGGCTCATTTAAAATGGACTGTGGCAAAGTGGAAAACTGTTCTGTGGTCAGACGAATCAAAATTTGAAGTTCTTTTTGGAAAACTGGGACGCCATGTCATCCGGACTAAAGAGGACAAGGACAACCCAAGTTGTTATCAGCGCTCAGTTCAGAAGCCTGCATCTCTGATGGTATGGGGTTGCATGAGTGCATGTGGCATGGGCAGCTTACACATCTGGAAAGGCACCATCAATGCTGAAAGATATATCCAAGTTCTAGAACAACATATGCTCCCATCCAGACGTCGTCTCTTTCAGGGAAGACCTTGCATTTTCCAACATGACAATGCCAGACCACATACTGCATCAATTACAACATCATGGCTGCGTAGAAGAAGGATCCGGGTACTGAAATGGCCAGCCTGCAGTCCAGATCTTTCACCCATAGAAAACATTTGGCGCATCATAAAGAGGAAGATGCGACAAAGAAGACCTAAGACAGTTGAGCAACTAGAAGCCTGTATTAGACAAGAATGGGACAACATTCCTATTCCTAAACTTGAGCAACTTGTCTCCTCAGTCCCCAGACGTTTGCAGACTGTTATAAAAAGAAGAGGGGATGCCACACAGTGGTAAACATGGCCTTGTCCCAACTTTTTTGAGATGTGTTGATGCCATGAAATTTAAAATCAACTTATTTTTCCCTTAAAATTATAAATTCTCAGTTTAAACATTTGATATGTCATCTATGTTGTATTCTGAATAAAATATTGAAATGTGAAACTTCCACATCATTGCATTCTGTTTTTATTCACAATTTGTACAGTGTCCCAACTTTTTTGGAATCGGGTTTGTATAATTAAAATGTATTATTTTCATCCTGCAAAACCGCATATGTAACACCAGTAATAGCAGAATAGCAACTTCAACAAAAGTACTGACATATAAAGAGTAGTCCTTTATATAACTTCATGATAGGACCTTGCAACTTATTTGTAGCAGTAAAACCCCATCAGAAATTCAGTTCAGTTCACACAAATAGAAGAAAATACATGTAAATTTTAGTCGGCATTGATTAAGATTAATCTTAGATTAATCTGGCATTGAGAGACCTATGGCTCTACACAGTGGCTTACTTCAGTAACAAATGTAGAGAATGAAAAAGCAGCCACTTCAGTCGAGCAGAATGTCATTTTAATCAAAATCCTTTATCTGTGCGAGCACCTGTGTGACTTCTACCCACTGTGAGCCCTTCAACGGCACACATATTACACCCTGAGACATGATGCCATATAATTCTGACCTTCCACTCAACATCTACATATTCACGCCTCTTAAGATAGAAACACTCTGTTTCCATGGTTTCAGTGTAAAAAGGAAGTGGCTGTGGAGTCGTGTGGAGCGAGGTGTGAAGGACGGTGAGGACGTTACACTATAATAAAAACGGCTTACCCTCTGCCGTTGTCCAAATGAATAATGAAAGTCTCATTTCCAAACTTCTCAAAAGTCTCGTAATGGTGGCGATCCATGTTGCCTGTTCAGTGCGAAAAAGGAGAGAGGAAGAGTGAAATACAGGAAGATTGATGTGGGATGTTGAAGAAAAGATAAAAGGAAGTCCATCGCTCCTTTAAGTTAAACGTGAAAAAGAACAACCCAGTCATTTTTTTGGTAAGCCTTTCTCTGCAAGCTTGTGAAAAACAAGCTGTTCAGATTTCGCTCCCCCCGTGACGTAGAATGGGGATCTTATCATAATATTACTGCAAGTTTCCACCCACGGCGCCGCCATTGTGTTTTTGCAACTGAAAGTAACACCATAGTGAAAGTTCGAGCAAAGCATGCTAACTGTTCTGTCTTTGGCTGCACTGATGAGCACAGATCACTATTTCGAGTCCCAGCCGCAGAGGAGACGAGAGAGCAGTGGATTTATTGATTTATTTACTGTATATTAAGCTGCTGCCTGCCACACAGATCTAATATAAACATGCAAATTCTCTCCCAGATGTTTACCTTCACAGACATAACTGACTGTTTTTGTAACTCGTGTGTTTTTAACATAAACTTGTGTGTATTTGACAGTTTAAGCGCAATAAGACATGAAAGAGAACTTAGTTTAATACTCACATGTTGTGACCACGAGATATTAACTCGTGGGAATGTGACAATATGTTGTGGCCACGAGATATTCATTCGTGGGAACGTCATATTAACTCGTGGGAATGTGATATTATGTCGTGGCCACAAGATGCCATGTTGAGGGAATGACATTCATTCACGAGTTTAAAGCGTATACAAACCTGCGTGACAATAGTAACCCGGGATTATCAGAGAGAGATAAAAAAAATTATCCATCCCACAGTCTTGTAAATTCATTAACTGATTTTGTCTTTTTATTTAATATTTGTATATTATTATTATTATTATTATTATTATATTAACTGGTTAGGGCTATATTTTTATATTTATTGTGTATCGCTTTACCTAATAAACGTTCTGTATAATTATGCTAGTAGACCTAATTGCTATCATATATTTTGCAAATACTGTAAATTATACCAATAAAATATTGACTTTATGATTGTATTTATGCCCGTGTGTGACGATAAATGAGCATGTGTTTCCATTTTGATAGTACGTGAATGATTTATTCCTGAATGAAACACTAGCCTATAGTATTTATAATTATGGTCAATTAATTAGCAGAAATAAAATGAAATATATGATAATTTCAACCTTTAAACCGCATACCAGTAAAAATTCCAATCAGCATAATCAAAGCTTTATTAGCATGTCAGGCATTTACAGTAGGTTATTATTTACAAAACTATTCAGGGGTGCATTTCCCAAAAACAACTATGGTCGCAAGTTCCGTCGTTACCAATAGAGTTCAATGGAACGAACCACCATAGTTAGCTAACGATGCTTTTGGCAAACACACCCCAGAATGTTAAGTAAAGAAATCGAAATGAAGGGAAAAACGAATATAAAAATATAACCAATAATAATAGGCTAATAATAATATTATACAAATATTACGGAAAAAGGACAATCAGTTAATGGACTTACAAGACTGTGGGATGGATAAAAATGTTTTCTTGTTTTATGTACTTTATGTAACATTTATTCATGATAAACTTCATTCGAATGCTGTCTATATCGCGCGCAATACAGTCCTGTATCCTAGGCCAGGTTAATATAATAATTTAATAATGTAATAATTTCTATAATAATTAATAGAATTATAAATATAATAATTTCTTAATTGAAAATAACATATGAATAATTCCATCTCTGATAATCTCAGGTTACTATGGTCATGCAGGTATGTTTACACATTAGAAATGGATGTCGTAACCTTGACAAAATTATCTTGTGGCCACGGCATAATATCATGTTCCCACAAGTTAATATGATGTTCCCACAAATTAATATCTTGTGGCCACAACATATTATCACGTTCCCACGAGTTAATATGTCATGCCCACGAAAAAACTAAGTGAACCGAACATGTCCCCTCCTGGTCACTGTACAATAGATACGGTAATCAAAACCAAACAGATGTTTTTTAGCAGAGTATCTGAGGTACCAGCTGTAAAAGCACAGCCTTGTCCTGGAAAAGGGGGTGGGGAGCAGCAGCACATTTGCATTTAAAGAGACATGCACTAAAACAGCGTGTATCTGCTTCCACTCAAAATAGGCTTTTTCCAAATTATATAATAAATGATCTGTGGGGTATTTTGAGCTGAAACTTCACAGGCACATTCTGAGACTTACATTTCAAAAGGGGCACAGTAGGTCTCCTTTAAGTTATTTTCAACAGATTCCAGTTCTGCAGTTGATAATTTTAGTCGTCTTAATGACTAATGCTGACATTTAAAACTTGACACTTGAATCAGAATCTATATTTATCCACACACAAGTAGGGCTGGAGGAGTTGGTTTCTATGGTGTTCACACAATGTCCTCTCAGAAAAGCACCAGGAACTTCTGATGAACAGGGGAAATTCCCTCAGATCAACCTGAGGTTAGCAGCCTCGCTCAAGGGCACACGGCTCATGAATGGATCAAAACACTCTCAAGCTCTGAAGACACATCCAGAGATCACCCACAGACTGTGAATTTATATCTTGCAACTGTGACTTTATTGAAATTGAGACTTTATACTTAACATAGTCGTGGCTTTATATCTCTGTCGTTATATCTCAAAAAAGTTATTATTTCTCAGAATCTTTACACTTCTTGTTGTAGCTTTATATCTTGCAGTGTGACTTCTTTATCTCACAAAGTGACTATATACTTTCTTTTATCCAACAATGTGACTTTATGTCTCACAATAACTGTTATTATGTATATGACTCCTGTAATTGTGACTTTATTTCTCAGAATTGAGACAAACTATTTTCCTAATTGTGACTTCACATCTCAAAAATTAACTTTATTTCTCAAAATTGACTTTATTTCTCAAAATTGAGACTTTATACTTTTAGTTAGTGACTATATATTTTGCAGTGTGACTTTATATACTTTTTATTCCACAATATGACTTTATCTCACAATGTGACTTATCATATGTACGACTATTGTAATTGTGACTTTATATCTGAAGATGGTGACTATTTCTCAAAATTGAGACTTTGCATCTTACCACTGTGACTTTACATCTCGCAGTGTGACTTCTGCAATGTGACTTTATATCTCACAGTGACTTTTTTTAAATCTCGCAGTATCTTTATTTCTTGCGATGTTACTGTAAATCCCACAACTGTGACTTCTGCGCAATTCAACTTTTTTATCTGACAATGTGACTTTTTTATAATCTAACAGTGTGACTGTTTCTTGTAATTGAGAATTTATATCTCCCAATTGTGTCTTTTATCTTGCAATGTGACTTTATATATCACAATATGATCTTTTTAAATCTTGCAGTGTGACTTTATATCTCACAGCGACTTTTTTATTTATTGTAATGTAACTGTATATCTCCCAACTGACTTTCTCACAATATGGCTTTTTATCTCACAATGTGAATTTATTTATTGTAATCGTAACTTTATATCTTCCTATCGTGACTTTATTTCTCGAAATTGACTTTATACCTCCTAGTTGTGACTTTATATCTTGCTGTGTGACTTTTTTATATCACAATGTGACTTTGTTTCTTAAATTTGCAACTGTATATATTCCTATTGTGACATTATATTTCAAAATTGTGAATTTATTTCTTGAAATTAAAACTTTATATCTTCCAGTTGTGACTTTATATATCACAGTGTGACTCCATCTTACAATGTGACCAGATGTGAGTTTATCTTGAGATGTGACTTTATATCTCAGTGACATTCTTTAAAACCTTGCAATGCAACTTTATTTGCTTGCAATGTGACTGTATATTTCCCAGTTGTGACTTTCTCACAGTTTCATCAGCCCGATCTCATGGCAATTCGTACATATTTTACGAGGTGGCTAATTCGTACGAATTCGTACGGCCTCACTCGTACAAATTCACACGATTTTTACTAAATCGTACGTATTTTACGAGTTGCACAATTCGTATGAATTTGTACAAATTACCTACACCTAACCCCGCCCCTAAACCTACCCGTCACTGGGGTCTAGACAAATCATACAAAATCGTACGAGTGATGTCGTACGAATTTGTACGAATTAGCCACCTCGTAAAATACATACGAATTTGTCGTGAGATAGCGTTGGTTTGACTTATCTCTTAATGTTACTGATTATCTCCTAAATTTGACTGTTTATAATCAAAACATTTTTTTACCTCACATTGTGACTTTATATCTCACAAAGTCTGTTTCTTATTTTTAAACTTGTATATCACAATTAACTTTTTTTTTTTTTACATTTTTTATTCTATTTTTTATTTTCATAGTTCAATGGCCATATTAAGCAATGTGTCTGGCTGGCTATTACACAACTTCCAGGAGACAGAATGCATACGTTTTTTATTATTTGCCACTATAGGGGCATGTTGTCACAAAAGTTGCATCCAATGAACTGTCTCTCTTTCCTGGGCGATAATGGAAAATGTTCCATTTTATATAAGACTTCATGAGTCTACACAAACATTTAATTAAAAAATGCAAAAATGTAAAAATAAAGTTACCCTAAAAAAACTTTCTGGAGTGAAAAGTAATATTTCCCCCAGTTTCCCCTATACTTCTAAGCAAAATTTTATAAACACGTTTTTAAACATGTTCAACACTTACCCATTAGAAAGTCAAAAATAGTCATGTCCATGATGTCCAGAAGTCGTGTGCCTCGGTCATACGGAGGAGTCTGTTTGACTTCATCACAATAGTCCGGATCCACTTCCCACCTTACAAAAGAGAAAACGAATAAGAAACTCAGTTCACCTTTAAATTTGAGCTGCATTTAGTCCCTTCTCATATATAACCCTACTAGCGTACAACTGCCATCTCAAACAGGATGGCCCATTGTTTTACTGCACAGATAGGATTTCTCTGAGAGTAAGTGAGAACCGCAGTAGTCTTTTTTGCTGATAAAGCCAGACTGTAGTTTAATGAAGATATGGGGTGGTGCGTGGAGACCGGAGATAAAGCGGAGAAAAAGAGCTTACTCAGCTTTCTTGCGTTTGTGGTAGGAGCGGCGCCAGGGGTTCCTCCAGGTCTTGCGCTTAGCTAGTGCCAAGTCAGGAAGAAATGCAGCCAGGGAGCCCTCGATCTGGTCGGGCTTCCCACATAGGGCATGTTCTGTGGAGCAGTAGTAGGAGCACTCGCCGTAGAAGCAGATATTGTTGGCTGCAGAGGTGAGGAAGAAAAGGTCTTGAGAAAACTGTTCTGGGGGGGGATTAAAATGGACCACCAGTGAAGCAAAGAGAAAGGAAAAGTCCCTCTGGAGTAACATGGGGTTAAGTGTCTTCATGTACACAATGGTAATAGCTCATTGATTGCCCATTACTGGGTTTGAACCTACAACCTTTTGGAATCCCCAGATATTTAAGTCAAGTTTTATATAACGTGAAGCAGCTGTTTTTTACTGATGCATTGATTTTTAATGAATAAATAATCTTATCTTTTGGTTTGCATTCATAAAGTTAAATAATAATAATAATAATAATAATAATAATAATAATGAATTATATATCATATATTAACTTTTTTTCCCAAAATAAGTATTTTGTGATATACACCATAACCATGTAATGTGGTTACTTATATAAGCACAAAATACTTAAAATAGTAAAACTCCCCTCAAATCTTAAAAGCATATTTAACTAAAGTGTACTTGCAGACATATTTAATATTAATTAACCCTGCTGAAAAAAAACAATAGAAACCATCACAGATTTTGTAATGGTTTTACTGGTTATAATGGGAAGTGTACTGGTTTTAATGGAAATTGTAATTGTGCCTATTGGTCTCTACTAGTAACTGGTCACCTTCTATTGGTGGCTTGTTAAAACCACTCAATCCTAATGGAATATGTCCCAAAACACACTACAGGAAAGCATTTCTTATTGGTTTTAATGGTTAAAAGTTGATGGTCTGTAATGGTATTTGTAGTGGAAACCATTAGAATTTCTGTGATGGTTTCTATTGTTTTTTTTTGGCAGGGAAATAAAAGGGCACTTAAGTATATTTAAAGAGAGATACTTTCATGACTACGCTTCTAAAGGTGCTTATAGTATGTACATTATCACAGTACCTTTAAAAAGTGCATTTTGTAATAATGTCAAATTAAAAGTTTTACTTTAAAGTTCATTTTAACTCATTATGCTTAATAATCTTTTGTCTTGCTGTGATTATTTTGATGTGTTGACTGACATACTAGAGCATATGTAATGTACTTGATTTTAAATGATTTAAATACATAACATACAAGGTTCAATAGATATAACATTAAAGTATATTTTAATTTATCATAAATGCTCGTCAGTACATTCAGCTACACCTTAACCTTATTTCTGCACAATTTAAGTAATTATGAAAAGACATAAATTTGTATTAAATTCTACTTAAGTGGGTCAAAAGCACTTTAAGGTTTATTGCATTTAATATAAATTTAAACTATAATACATTTTCATTTAATTGCAAATAACATGCAATTAAATGTCCAAAAGCAGCCTTTCTCAGTAACAGCCACATAAATGTATCTATGTGGCAGGAAATACAGTTGACACATATGTGTATATCATCATATATCACAATCATGATGGTAACCAAATTTGACAGCAACAACATGCTAACTATGGCAATCTTTTGTGCAGCAGCCTTGTTTATAGTGTTACAGTTAGCAGAGGATGCTTTTGAAATAGGTGACTTCTCCAGATGTGCCTTTATTTGATGTCAGTGATCTAAAATGCTCGGATTCACCAAGGGCTCATTAAACGCTGCTGTTTAGCCAATGATGAATCATTATGTATAACGCCTTTTTCAAATGTTTCCTGACATGGCTCCCCGGGGGAAGCGGAGCCCTTTCACTCGTTCCCACAAAAACACATTTGTCATGAAAAGTGGAGGCAGAATGCTAATGATAGCCCCGCAGAGAAAGAATATGGCCAATCTGTGTGCCTCATCCGAACACTTACATCGTCTAAATGTCGGTAATTTAGTTGCCAAACTAGCTGCACGTGTGTTATTGCATGCTTGTTACTCCCCAATTAAAGGCTGTAATTAGCCTAGCATCTTGGCTGGGTGTCGTTAGCTGGTCTATGGCTGGTCTACTGCACGCTTTTTGTGCTATTATTTGTCACAGCCCGTAATTGGTTAGTTTAATAGCTCTTTATGGACTTTTTAAGCTGTTAAAAAAGGAATAAGCAGTCAAAAATACACAGCAAGATGCTAACATGCTAAACTATGCAACAAATTTAACTAAATGCTAACACTTTGACACCACAGGGAAGTTTGTCATGAAACTGAATGACTGTCTGATTCTCAGAAATGTGGATTTTCCCATTGTCTGAACTCTATATGCGTGAGAAGCCAACAATCAGGGGGAAGCATGCTCTGATGGGGTAGAAGAAAAGGCCCTGCGGAAGTCACTCATACCTGGGGATACGAAGAATGTCCGCCAGAGCTTTTTGTCACGGGTCACGTCTCGGATCTCCCGTGTCATGTTCACCAGCCTGCCGGCCACCGGCGGAACTCTCCGGAAATCCAGGATTCTGTGCGCCACAAACAAACGACATTGTCAAACGATTCATTTGCAATGCATTATCAGATACAACACCTGTGGTGTTTCTTCACGCAGGCCTTGCACAGTTCACAGGCTGCTTTATGAGAACAGTGACACCAGACATTTAATCTCCTGCCGCATTCAATAATGAGGAAACAAACAATAAAGAGCGCAGAAAATCCATAGAATAGAGCCATTTCTAAAGTGGCTGGGTAATGATTTTTTTCTTCAAGGTGCTACTGCTAAGCAACTGAGCCCACTCTTTACTCACTGGCTTTATGACACCTCCGTGATTGCTCTTTATTAGACTTTTATTGGCGTTTTAGCATCTGGCCACACACCACAGGATATAAATACCCTCTAGTTTCTCTCTCATTTGGTCTTTCTTGTGTACTTGTGTTGGGCAAAAGTCAGAATTGGCTCTTTTTCAATTATGAGTGAGTTTTTAATTAAACTGGCCACATGCCTCACAAGAAGTGGAATTGGAATGATAGGGAGAAAAAAATACAGGTGCAATTTTCAGAAATTCAACACAATATTTCTAATAAAAACAAACACATATGCATTATTAATATGTGGTTTTTATCCCTTAACATGTAGAATATTGTCCTCAATTACTAGACATCTCTAAACTAAGTTTAATAATGTCAAAACAAATGACACATCAAACTGATTATAATTTTGCCATATAGCACCACATCTAAAATGAGAGTGTATTTATTAAATACAAATTAAATACATTAATATTTCATTCAACTGCACCATATAAAAAAAATGTCATGAAAGTTAACTGATTAAATATACACATATAATATTTATAAAATCACACATTAGTTTGGGGACCAATTCACACTATTAACTATTAACTCAATAAACAAATTAATTTAATAAACTCTTAATTTGCTGCTTATTACTAGTTAGCAAGGTAGTTGTTAGTTTAGGTATGGGGTGGATTAAGGGATCTAAAATATGGTCATGAAGAATATGTGCTTTGAGTACTAATAAACAGCCAACACGTTAATAATAAGCATGCTAATAAGCAACTAGTTCATAGTGAGAATTGGTCCCTAAACTAAAGTATAACCATTTATTTTTATCTTACCATGGTCAATTTACTACTATTAAATTAATCAATACTAAATATAAATATCTGCAGGAGTGTCAACTAATGATTATGAATAAGGTACTCCATATGTTGTTTGTATGATAATATATTTATATGTAATTGATACTGAAAAATGAAACATTATTATAAACTACACTAAGAACAGTTAGAAGATTTTCCATATTTTCCATCATTTCATTTCAGTTTAACTTCTTTAAATTCAAACTGGAATTACAATTTGAGTTTGCATCCTGTTTGCAATTTCAACTCAAACAGAGGAATTGAATTGCAATTTAAAAATCTTTCTGAATTCAATTCTGAATGGTGCGCACGCATGCTGGAGGGTTTGTTCATCTCTCAGTCTTTGTCTGTGTCCAGTGGGCCGCCTCAGAGAAAATCCCACATCGTGTGGTGCATGGGCTCCTGGCCCCTGAGAGACAGAAACCCAAGCCTTTGAGATGAAACCACTCAGGGGTCGCAAGTTGCAGAGTGACTCTGGACGCAGGCGACAAAGAGCCCAGTGTGGAAACACTGCATTCTAGGAACATTCTGTCGGACGTTTGTGGAAATAAGCTACAGTATAACCGAGAGGAAGTGGTTTGCGATGAAGTTGAGAGTACTGTAGTAACACAACATTTCTTGTCAAATTCAGTTGTTTCTCTCACACTAAGCAAAGCTATCAATATACCATTTCACTAGCAAAGCGTTATCACTCAGCTGACAATAAGTTGGCATATCATACAATGCTTTTTCCTCCCCTAAATAAAATACATCATGGACATGACAGGCGCCTCAAATGAGAGCAACAACGTTCTGGAGGAAATGGAGTGGGTCTCACAAGCTCAATTAGCTCTCTGACTCCACAAAGCCTCTCTCTGTGGGGCTTCTTGTTAAAGTCAGTGGGGAGTTTCTTCTGACTTCTGACTGCACTCACATGCACCTTGTTACTCTGGGAGTAACTGTAAGGTGTATCGACTCTATCGCACTAAGTGCTTTTCAGGCCGTTGTCCAAAAGTCTTGAGTGACATGCGCAGAGCGGCGAGAATATAATAAGAGTTGGTTTGGCTTTCTGACATCACAATGGTGCGAGCGCTCTCGTGTGTAAAAGTGAAATGTGGAGATGTGTGTGTGGTTATGGTTTCTTTTTCCCGGCCAACGTCCATTCTAGAGCAGTATCAGAGCACTACAGGTGTTTTCAGTGAAAGAACTGGGAGGAAGCCAAGCTGAAGGTCTCTGTAAGGGGAATTTCCTCTTAAAGGCTACTGGGGTGGTTGAATGGGGTTTGGATGAGTGTCATGCAGGCTACCAAATTTAACAGACTTGTTCAATATACACCATAACACAATAATTTTTAATAATGGACTTTTCTTAAAAACTTTTCTATTTATTGGTGGTACATAAAATAAAATAATAAAATAAAATTTAATGTAAGAGTTTACAACATGGTTCAATTTGTTCTAATTAGTTAACTACATTAGTTAACACGAACTAACAATGAAAAATATTCAAATTTCTAATATTCTAGTATTTATTAATTCTAGTTAATTTAATCTCGGCATTACTAATGCATTATTACTATTAAAATTTGAATCTATTAATATTATTTAATGGACCTGAGCTGACATGAGCAAACAATGAACAGTTATATTTTTATTAAAGGGGTCATATGATGCTATTTAAATTTTTCCTTTCTCTTTGGAGTGTTACAAGCTCTTGGTGCATAAAGAAGATCTGTAAAGTTGCAAAGACTAAAGTCTCAAAGTCTCAGTTGACCGTCATGAGTCAAGTCAAGTTACAGTTCATTATAATGAGTCAAGTCAAGTCACAGCTAATCTTCCTGAGTCAAGTCAAGTCACAGCTAATCTTCCTGAGTCAAGTCAAGTCACAGCAAATATTCCTGAGTCGAGTCTAGTCACAGTTGATCATCATGAGTCAAATCGAGTCACAGTTTATTATCCTGAGTCTGGTCAAGTCACAGCTGATATTCATGAGTCTAGTCAAGTCACAACTGATCTTCATGAGTCAAGTCAAGTCGCAGCTGATCTTCATGAGTCAAGTCAAGTCGCAGCTGATCTTCATGAGTCAAGTCAAGTCGCAGCTGATCTTCATGAGTCAAGTCAAGTCGCAGCTGATCTTCATGAGTCAAGTCAAGTCGCAGCTGATCTTCATGAGTCAAGTCAAGTCGCAGCTGATCTTCATGAGTCAAGTCAAGTCGCAGCTGATCTTCATGAGTCAAGTCAAGTCGCAGCTGATCTTCATGAGTCAAGTCAAGTCGCAGCTGATCTTCATGAGTCAAGTCAAGTCACAGTTGATCGTCATGAGTCCAGTCAAGTCTCAGCTGAGCTGCCAGAGCCTTGTTACGTCACAGCTGATCTTCTAGAGTCTCGCCATGTCTCAACTGTTCGTCCAGAGTCTTGTCATGTCTCAACTGTTCGTCCAGAGTCACGTCACGCCTCAGTTATTCATCCAGAATCACGTTGCATCACAGCTGATCATCCAGAGTCATGTCACGTC